ACTTGTTTGTTTGTGTGATACGAATTTGTTAGGCCCTGACCACAGCCCAGTATGTAGACAGAAACAATTATAAACAAACCAACAACAACATCATTACATAGTATAAAACAAAGTCGCTGTCGGTCCGTCCCTATGTATGCTTAAATCTTCAAAACTACGCAACGGATTTTGAAGCGATTTTTTTTAATAGATAGACTGATTCAAGAAGAAGGTTTATATGTATAATACATGTACAGCCGGGCGAAGCCGGAGCGAGTAGCTAGTAAACAATTATGTACACATCCAGTAGAAATCCTTTGAATTTTTAATTTTAAACTATGTTATGTTACTTGCTTTTTTTTAAATTACCAAATCTTGCAAATTAATCAGTGTCCTCTGAAACATTATCCAGGTTGACGGTTGTAAAGTTTTGTTCTTTATTTTCAAGGTTTATGCGGCAATACTAGTTTAAAAAAACCATTGTTAAAAAAAACAAACAAACAAACCACGTATTGTTTAAAAAAAATGACATCTCTAGTTTCGTAACAATTTTCTGTTGCAGTATCAAATAATATATGATAATGAATGAATATGATTCTTCGGAATATCCTACAAATCTTCTCTACTTTTAGGAAGCTATTTTATCCTTTTGACATCTGGATATGTGCAAAGGACCTACACCCGAAAATTTTTAGATGATTTAGGTCAATTAGGTGAAAAGGACCAGGACATTGTTGTTTACATACGGACCGACTTTCAAGGTGTTTGTGGCCCGGGTTGTGGGAACCCGGGCCACAAACATGCACATGCTACCTTCATGAAGTAGGACTACTGGCCAAAGGGTGTGGTGTATCGGCGCTACCGTGGCAGATTGCCGTCGTCAGTGCCGTGTCACACAGACAATATCAATACATTAGTTTTAAATTATTTCATATGTATGTTATTCTACAAGGTATTTATGATATGGGTCTAGTTGCCTGAAATAAATAAATAATAATAAACTAAACTACATTTCACTACAAATTCGTAAATACATGTGCAATAGTCCGTCTCTTCCTAAATGCCACAGAATAAATCATCAAGCAAAATAAAGTAACAATAGACTTGGCATGTCCCGTCCTTGGTACTAATCACCAGCTTAAGCTGTGAAAAAGAGAATAATAATTAAAGTAAGAGTAGCTTTAAATATAGCACAGAAAAATGATCCCCAATGGGGTCAAGCATCGCTGTTGCCAATAGTACAAGTTGAGTATCTTACGAGTTCATGTTAACTGAAGTAGCTAGCCAAAAGGACGGTAGGGAGAGTGATAAAAAAAATGGCTTGAATATGCGGCCAAAAGTTTACAAGACATTCTAATTTGAATTTTTAATTTTGGGACTTGAATTTTGAAATGTGAATTTTATCCTTACACTTTTCCCTTCATCGGTAATATTGAATTGTTGAGTTCTGGAAATCTCCCGAATTTGGGGATTCTGTAGCGATGGGTATATTTGGGGTACCAAAACGAAGAACGTTTCGGGTACAAGGAGTCTATGTGTATTACGTCGTCTATTTGTCATCTTCATACATTTTTACAACTCTACTTAGATAAAAATTTGACATTCAAACATAGCTAATATTATAAAACTTGTTTGTTTTGTTAGTCAAAGGTTTGGCACGCACATAGACTGTATTGTGGCATAATAATACATCAAGATGTAACAATAAACAGATGAAATAGTAAAACTTTTACTGTATAAATAAATACTCCTTGACTCGGATAATAATAGAGTTTTGGGTGGGTTAAACCACGTTTTCCTTGAAGCATAATTGGATCTACTTTGTCGAACTCGATGGTTTAGCAGTTTAATACTGCTTTATGTTTATATAGTCGTGAGTTCGATACCAACATAATACAAAGATTTGTGTTCATTAGAATTTGATTCTGTTAGTACTGTTTTGTAATATGTAAAAGAACGATACGAACAAATGAGAACGTCTCCCATTACGACTGTATTCTTTATGATGATCATGAATCCTCCCAATATGATATCTGTGTATACATATCTTTGTCTTCCAAAATAAAGTAAAAAAAAACTGTTTTTCTAAAATAAAAGTAGCCTAAGTCACTCCTTATTACATCAGCTACCTGCCAAAACAAGTCCCGCCAAAATCGGTCCAGCCGGAATTTCAGAGATTAGGCGGAATAATCAGACAGACATACAAAAATTGAAAAAAAGAATTAATTTGGTGTATGTACCGTATTTATATTCATATGCATGTAGTAAAACAAATAAAAACGTCTCCCATTAAGACTGTATTCTTTATGATGATCATGAATCCTCCCAATATGATATCTGTGTATACATATCTCTGTCTTCCAATATGATGATATCGATGTTTTATTATGTGTATAATCCATGCTAACATTGTATATGTGTGTCTGGTTGTCTGTTTATTACATTTTCACTCCTAAACGGCTGAAAATATTTTAATACAATTTGTCGTAAACATAGACCGTATCAAGAGTACGGATACAGACTATCTTTTATTGGGATAAAAGATAGTCTGTAGTACAAACAGTAAACGAAGCCGCAAAAAACAGCTTGTGTATAAAGAAGAAGATACTAAAGATCAATTGAAAAATGCTTAACGAAAAAGACGTAATTTCATTCTCCAAGGTGTAAGTAATAGTTTGTAAAATTAAATTTAAATACCTCTGTTTGACTAAAAAGTCATAATTGGCAGCTAATGGGTAATAGAGTAAACAAAAGGTACACTAATGGCCAGTTTTTAATGGAATGGCAAACAAACTGACAGCCCATGAAGTTATAGAAGCGGTTACTGTCGCAATATAGATGAACAGCACTACGGACATCACGTTATCATGTGACGAATGTGATACAGCTCACGCGTTGCCATTCCCGAGGCCTAAGATGTGATACCTCTTCATTATCATTATCATTACATAGTATAAAACAAAGTCGCTGTCGCTGTCTGTCTCTAGGTATGCTTAAATCTTTAAAACTACGCAAAGGGTTCTGAAGCGGTTTTTTTAATAGATAGAGTGATTCAAGAGGAAAGTTTATATATATAATACATATACACTCGTATGAAGCTGGGCGAGTAGCTCTTATCCTATAATTTTACTTCCAAATCTGATGACATTAGAGATTTTTTTATTAATTTTATTTCTTTCTCTGTTATGTTTAATTTCTCATTGGATGATGATATTAACTACTTCAGCCGCGATTTGATACAAGTTTTAATTGATTAATATATTCCTCTGGAGGGGATGCTAAATTACGACTATAGAAATACATATATATTATATTATATTTCATATTAGCTGTTCCCGCGACTCCCGCGTGGAGATTAACTTTATTTTTCTAAAATAAAAGTAGCCTAGTAGTAAAATAAAGTTACTACTTATTACATCAGCTACCTACTGAAGAAAAGTCCCGTCAAAATCGGTCCAGCCATTTCAGAGATTAGGGGGAATAAACAAACAGACAAACAAAAATTGAAAAAAAAAAATATATTGGTATGTGTACCGTATTTATATTCATATGCATGTAGTAAAAAATGGTTGTTTCAATATTACAAACAGACACTCCAATTTTATTTACATGTATAGTTATATTAGTTAATACTTAAATATATAGGTACTGAAATATATGAATATATACATTTTTTAAATTTAAATATAATAGATTAGAGATTAAGTAAGACAGAGGTACCCACAAAGTCTACCTCGGTTTACAACGATGTCAAATGATGGTCGAAAATGGATAGAAAGAACATAGACTATATTTTATCTCAAAAAAGCACAGGAAATTGTAGGTAACAATTTTTTCGCAGTCAGTACTTACACACCTACTCATACATGCTGAGTCGAACTTAATTGAGAAAAAAAAGTCATTTTTTTATTTACCTTCAAATATTTAAGTAATAAATACATACATAATATATGTATCTATCTACACAAGCAAACAACTATACAATCACAGAAAGTCATTATTCATGTACAAATATTTGTTGTGCAGGATTCGAACCCGTGACTCGTCACCATCGGAATGTGAGGCAACGTGCTAAACCACTAAATCACCGAGGTCAACCAATTGACCATTATCGCATCATATAGAATGGTCATCTGTATAAATTTTATCTTTACATAATATAATCGTAACGCGTCGAAGTGTCTGTTTGTTTGTTTGGATTCACATACAAACGACTGGAAAAATTCGGATGAAATTTTCACAAAATAAATACATTGTTAAATATAAAGGCTAAAGAGAGCCGAGGAAAATACTTAAGTGTATTTTTACAGCTGAGAAAAAGGGGTGAACTATATTAAATAATATGTTTAATATGCGACTTACAATTTAAATAATTACTTTAATTTTAATATAAAAGATGGCGCTGTTCATAAAAAAAAATAAACCATACTTACATGGTTTGTTTTATCGATCTACACACGAATTAACTGGCAGACGCCACTACCATAACATAATATCGCACTCTTAATAGTTTTTTATTAATTCAATGTACCATGAATAATAGACAATAGAACAATCAATACATACCTACGAGTTATAAAAAGAAAAAAATACACCTATTTGGTACGTCTGTTCAGAAATGTAATAGCGTAAAAAAGCGCGGGAAAATTTTCCTATTTAAAAATATAGTAACCGTGCACAGGTAGATTCTTATCTACTATTTATAACCAAATTAAAAGGTACATGTATTTTATTGTGATAAAATGTACACTAAAAAAAGCCATTTATATCTATGTATTTATCTAGTATCAGCATATTGAATGAAGATGACAAGAGAAGAAAAATTGCGACTCCCAAATACTAAAAACTATTGAAATAATAATAAACAAGACGGTAAAACTGGGTGTTTTGCCAAGTCCAGTTTTCATGGTCACTCCACGAATGCTAACATCGGAGAAATTGTTCCTCCTAACGCGCTAAAAATATTCGCAAAGTTACTTATGATTGCAACGTAACTCTTACTTCTAAACAATTCAACTTACCTTTCAGTGATTGGTACGGCTTTCGACTTGAGTTCGTAAAACATGAAATCCTGATGCTGTCCTGCAGTCATTTCGTCCGGTATACCGTGATCAGGGTTGAAATCATTCGACAGCAAAGATGCGAGATCATACGCCAAGTCAATCCCAGATTCATCCATTTTTGAACAGTAACACAAACACAAACTTTTCCACTACAAATTATGTTCTAACCACTAAACTGCATAACCATGTTTAAAAACAAAACACGCGTTTTTTATATAGAGATGATAAATATACCAAAAGAATCCATCCTCACAACTGTGTACACTTATTGCTATATTGTTTAAATGTTAGTTGTAGACAGAGATAGACACTTTACATGCGTCTGTGTACTTTGATAAACAGTTACTATTAAGACACAAAATAAAAAATCATGACATAGTATTGATATACTCATCTGTAACTGACTTCCAAAATTATTGGCATATTACAGAAACGATAGTACATATTATACTTTCCTACAATAATTTATTATATCCCTTTCAGTTGTAATAGTCTTAATTTTTAATATTCATTTGTAAGTATCCGAGAATAATCATAATACTATATTTATATATCTCAAAGTTTTCAAATGAAGCATCGTAACTTTACTAATATATTTTTTAATCTGGCTAGAATGAACCAATGATACCAGTTAAAGGTATTTTACCTTTAATTAAGGGTAAAACTACAACTGATAGCATAACATGAAAGAATATACTTTTTATTAGACACATATAAGTAAAATAATAAAACCATACATACAAATTATCTACTTACAAATACTTAATTAATGTTATTTGTAGGTGAGTTTATATTAAAATGACTTTCATTGTTTTAAATGACTTGTTATTAAAAGTAATTAAATTATGATTTAAAAATATTATAAGAATCATTGTTAAAATAAACGAATTGATCTTTGAATACTTATCCCATGTATTTAATCAGCTCCGGCGTAATATTATATCCTAATATTTATCATATTAGGTGTCGGTTTAATTATTCTGCCTTCTTGCGGTAGCAATACTTTTGTTATTTAACTAAAAAATTAATAACAACGATGTTGCAAAGAAACTTGAAAATAAACACAAGGAATTGACAGCTATATTATATAAGCGAAGAAGGTAAATTAGTTGTAGTGGAGACATTTGATAAAATTTGCGGGGAGGGATGGGGTGCATACTAATAAGCTTTCATTATAACAAGGGACAAGTTACTAAAATACGACATTTTAACATCTCAAAATAAACAAATTAACTCGGGAAATTAATTACTCAATATTGGCAAGATCCCCCAGGTGTTGCCATACATAAAAATATGAAATATGTCTATATGCATAGTCTGTATATAGTTTGTGGTCTGTAGTACGAAACTCCAAAAAATAAAGGAAGAAAAAACAAAACTTCGTTTTTGTGAACGCTTGACTTTTCAATAGTGCTAAAACATTATAAAAAAATTTGTATAAAACATTTACCTTAATTTCTTAAATAAATATGTCGAAAGCTCATCCTCCGGAATTAAAAAAGTAAGTTAAATTTCTTTCTGTTTTGTTTGTACAGCTTCCCTAACCTATAATATTATCTTGCGTTAATTACCAATTTTATACACTAACAATAATTTATGCTGTTTTATTTTTCTGTAATGATAGATGACTATACTTTAATACTTACTTATAATGTTAAATTTTCAGATTCATGGACAAGAAACTGTCCATAAAACTGAACGCCGGACGCGCCGTAACCGGCGTGCTCCGTGGTTTCGACCCCTTCATGAATCTAGTCCTTGACGAGTCTGTAGAAGAATGTAAAGATGGACAACGTAACAACATTGGCATGGTGGTATGTATTTATATTTTATTAATTATCGCAATAGACTTTGTATTATCTGCTGGGGTACTAGGTCACAGCAGCGACGCTTTACTTCCTTAAGCATCAATTTTCTGTGCTGTGGACAGGACTAAGCTTAGTTTTGTCCAATACATATCTAGTGACTTATATATGTAGTTGAATATTCAAGGGGAAAAGCACAAAAGAGATTTTGTTTATTAAAATTATCTAAGACAAGCAAATGCAACATCAAAGTTTTGAAGAGTAGACAAGTAATGTAGGATAGTTTATAATCAAATATGCGATGGATTTTATGTTGTTGCCAAATGTTGATTTTTTTGTCAGAAATTCAGAACTTTTCTACTGGTATTATTATTCTTGTAGCTACTGATTGTTTATTACTAATAGTTATTTGTGTATTATATTATTTTATTTTATTAACAATTTTAAATAAAAGATGCACTTCAACATGGCCTAAAACAGAAATGGAAATAGGCAGGTCACATCACAGCTTAGGGTACAGAGACAAAAGGTGGACTCACCAATTAACAAAGTGGCTAGGACCGGTGGAGAAAAGGCTAGTGGATTGACAAAGAAAAAGATGGTCTGATGACATTAAAAAAGTGGCTGGGGAAAACTGGATGAGCGTGGCTATTAATAGAGGACAATGGAACAAGCTGGAGGAAGTTTTTACTCACATAGGGCCAATCAATATAAAGTCAACTAAATTAGTCTAACTTAAAATATTAATTAAAATTATAAAATTATATGGAAAATAAAGCTTAAATAATAATTAGTTATTAAAAATATATATTTCGCATTAGCCGTGAGCCTTTGGGTTGTTTGCTATTCCAGTTTTTTAACTACTAAAACTAATATCAGTGTTATTAATTACAATTAGTATAGACTTTGCTTGTTTTGGAATAAAATTCAGGTTGGAGATGGGTTTATTAGTTCTTTAATTAATATTTGATGAAATAAAAATATGTTCAAATATGTTTTTTTTCTGTTACAGGTCATTAGAGGGAACAGCATAATAATGCTGGAATCATTAGACAGAATATAGTAGTAGTTTAAGTACTTTTTAATCTAACTTATCATGAATAAGAAGCATCATAAGAACCTACTTTATTATTAAGTTACATAATATTAAGTACTACAAATAATGAAGGACTGTAAATGTTATTATAATGTTAGGTACATTAATTACTTGTACTCCATATGATATGTACACGATGAATGAAAATACATATTTTTTGACCCTACACATGAAATGTTTCAGACCCATTTTTTGTTAACCACCACGCCAGGAACACTAATGTTGAAATTGTAAAACATTAAAATATTGTCATTCCATAATAGTTTTTCATTTTAGTCTATGCTTTATCCACAAGAACAGGATTCTATTTACAATAAAGACTGTTTTTATTTTTAATCTATGCTCTATCTTCTAGAAAGGTTATTAATTTCATATTTTTTACATGGCACATCTAATGGTATATGGTACTATATTGCCTATGGAAGGTTGCGACACCAGGGGTGTTTCATGCACATTCCCGACCCTAATAATAGAATAACAAAGATGTTATTTATAATTATCAACTGTAGCAGATTTAAATCTACACTTTACAGTAATGTATGGACTATTTAATGGTAATAATTGGAAGTCTGTAATTTAGTTAGCATTTGCTACTCCCAAATGGTTTACAGGAAATTACAAAACCACCAGTTATAGTCTCTTATTATTGTGTATACAAGAAATATATAATAATCATTACATAATTGGACATCAGAAATTGCCCTCACTACTTTCAATCTTGTCAATTTTGGTTACATCTGATTTTTTTCTAAAAACTGACAGATCTAAGCAGATTTTGATTATAATATGTAATGGAGTTGAATGTTCTTAATTTGAACAGATATAGTTTTATTATGTAAAATATTATCTTATCTATGGTTTTAATATTATGCATCAACACACATACAAGGGCGGATCCAGCTTTGGCGCCAGGAGGGTCACATAGTCGTGGTTACGTCAAGAACTTATAATTTAATTTCGATAATAATAGATACAAATAAAAAGTAGGTAGTTTCTTAATGTACGTAAGTGCTGTACTTAAAAATATTTATTCTTTATTGTACACTTGAAAAACTTAACACATAATAACTTGTACATATACACATACACATGGATGTCTTCAAGAGAAGATGGCAATCTTCTCTTGAATATCCAGAGAAGCACTGTTTAAATATAATTAATTAAATATTGAAGGTATGTAGTTACATAAACTCTATATGGTGACAAAGTATATAAATAAAATCATTGTGTTCAATTAGTGGTCCACCTAAGTTTTGGGCTCAGGGGGGGGGTCATGACCCCCATGGCCCCCCTGGATCCGCCGTTGGCCACATAGGATGTGCAGTGGCGTCTCCTCTTCTGCTTGGCAAAATCTGCAGATTATGTTTGATATGATTATGTTAAGCTAAGGCCTAATTTTGCCATGTGCTTATTCAGCTTGCAGTGTCCAGTGATGCATATCCTAGTTATGATGCATGTATTGTTTGTTAAGTTGCAGATACTTGAATAGTTTGACGTACGATACGTAATTTCAGCTGTGACATTTTCGTAATAAATTGCAAAATTAAAAATTGTAATAAGTTTCCAATAAAAATGGTTGTTTATAGTGGTTTATAAGTATTTATGATTGGGTGGTAATATTTTTTTCTCATCATATTGAGTAAGTAATATCCACGAAGTATCCGCTAGAAATCAGCTTGGCTATATTTTTACTATTGATGATAATTTAATCGTGCATGCGCTAACGGTATACGCTAACGGGACACCAGTGGAGGATGATAGGAAGAGCATGTGGTCAGGTCAGGTTTATATCGATGGTTTCCATGGGGTAACCGCGTAGAGGTCCATTGCTAACAATGGGTCAACAGTTCAGTCTATTAACAATCCCATTCCCCCTAATCAGCATGGTTAATTCCTGAAGAATTTGTCACGTTGGCAGTATCTGACCATAGCATTTGGTGCCCTGCCAGAGTATAGCGCTAGAGCAAACGGACACCATTATAGAGAAATATATACTTATCTACTAAAAATCTTGGGGGTAAGACGAATTTTTGCAACATTGGTTTTTTTTGGTTCTTTATTTATTCCTTAAAGGAAAGGCAAACGGAATTGCGCTCATACAGCCATTGTAACAGTGAAATATAGACATTATTGACAAGCTGTGATATGAATATAGTATTGAATTATTAATTAAAACTAGATTTACCCATTATTAGGCTTTAATAAACTAAAAATTGTACACGACTATTTGACAGATAAAATGTAACTAAAATCTTCTTCTTATATTTAATGGCTTCACGACATTCACCCGTGCCTTAGAAATCTGTTTGATAATCTTGGAACCGATTAGGTGGGCGACGTAGCCTGGTGGAACGACGTGAAGATATATTTGCCTCAGCAGGGGATGGAAGTGCAGGAAATTGATCTGTAAGAGATTGATTAGTAGGAGATTCTTCTGCGGGAGATTGGTCTGTTAGAAATTGGTCAGCAGTAGATTGATCAGCATTAAATGATTCAGTTTCTGCGTTCGGGTTCTGTTCTCTTACAGGTTCATTTAACAAAGGAGGATTAGCTGGAGCCAAGTACCTATTTGAAATTGTAGTTTCTCGACCATTCTGCAAACGCACTTGAGAATAATGTGGGTTTACATTAAGTACCTCTATATATCTTCTACAAACGGATCGTACTTACTCTTCCTCACAAGATTTTTCATGAACACTGTACTTCCTTCCGTTAGCCATGTTGGCATTGATTGGCCATTGGATGACCTTCGTGGATGAGAAAACATTCTCTCGTGGGGTGTGCACCCAGTACTGGTGCATAATAATGAACGAATGCAATGTAATGTCTGAGTAATAACTGACTCCCAAGCACTTATAGGTAGCTTAAGAGACATAAGTGATAGTTGAATAGTTTTCCAAATAATCCCATTATAACGCTCTGTTTGGCCATTTCCTTGAGGATTATAAGGTGATGAATAACTTGTAGCTACTCCTAAGCTACATAAAAATTCCTTTAATTCTGATGAGACAAAGGATGTTCCTCGATCAGAATGCATAGGTGGGTACTCCAAAGATTGCAAATAATTGAGTTAATTTCCTTTTAACGGTTTCAGCTGTTAAATCTGGACATGGAAAGGCAAATCGGAAACGAGAATATTCGTCTACTACAGTTAGAATATACTTATTTTGAGTTCTACTTGGAAGAGGCCCCTTAAAGTCCATTGAAATTCGCTCAAATGGTGTAGTAGCCTTTATTAAAGTCCCAGAAGATTCTATGAATCTAGGTTTAATTTCAGCACATACGGGACATAATGTATTTATGCGTTTGATTTCTTCAACAGAAAAGGGCAAATTTTTAGTTCTTACCCAATGTACCATCCGTGTAATACCCGGGTGACAAAGATGTTATGTAAATCCATTAATGAATTTCTCGATGTCGAAGCTATGACAGTATTTGCTCGTGACAATGCGTCGGCCACGACATTTTCTCTTCCCGGTCGATATATGATGTCAAAGTTGTAACTACTTAATTCAAGACGCCAACGCTGTATCTTCTCATTTTTGATCTTTGATGTATGTTGCTGGTTAAACATGAATGATATAGAACGTTGATCTGTAATCAGTTTGAATGTTCGTCCTATTAGTAATTGTCTCCATTTTCTCAAACTTTCTACAATTGCCGAGGCCTCCTTTTCAATAGCAGGGTGACCCCTTTCGGTAGCAGAAAGTGTTCTTGAAAAAAAGCTACTGGCCGACCTTCTTGAGAAACGTAGCTGCAATAGCGTAATCTGAAGCGTCAGTTTCTACAGTCATTTGTATGCCGCTTTCGATAGCAGCTACTGTAGATTTAGCTATCTCTATTTTAAGATCTTCAAATGCTTTTATAGCGTCCTCCGTAAGCGGAAATGTATTATGATTGACAAATGGTTGTATTTTGTATGAGAATTTAGGAATCCATTTAGCATAGTGCGCAAACATACCTAGTGCTCGTCGCAAAGAAACAGAATCAGTAGGAATTGGTAGTTCTAGGAGAGGGCGTAAACGTTCCGGATCAGGTTTAATCACTCCGTTACATATGTTGTATCCCAGAAGATTTATAGTAGTCTTTGAAAATTCATATTTTGTCACGTTTAATGTAAGATTATATTTTGTAGAAATTTCTTCAAATTTTTTAAGTTTTTCATCGTGATCAGTCTGATTTATCCCACAAATCGTGATATCATCGAGATAAGCATAAACTCCTTCTAATTGCTCTGATTTTATGATATTATTAATTGCACGTTGAAATGCGGCCACTCCATTGGTGACACCAAACGGAATTCGTCGAAACTGATATAAATTTCCTCCTGCTTCGAAGGCAGTATATGATTTTTCGCTTTCCAATATAGGTACTTGATGATACGCGCTTTTAAGGTCTATTTTACTGAATATTTTATGTTTAGATACCTTAGCTATAACATCTTCAATAGAAGGGAGTGGATATGCATCTAATAAAGTAAATCTATTTATTGTTTGTGAATAATCTATAACCATACGTTTTTTATGGTGTTCACTACTAGTAACAAGGACTTGTGCTCGCCATGGAGACTGACTAGGTTCAATTATTTTATCTTTTAATAACTTTTGTATCTCTTCATCTATAAATTTTTGATCCATCTCTGACTGTTTCCTAGATCGAATCGCAATAGGTTTCTCGAAAGGTAGTAAATTACTGAATAAGCTAACAGGTTTTATTTTGGCTTCTATAAGAGTACATAATTGAAGCGAGGGTTTAAAACCACCAAATTGCATTTCTAATGATTTATGTTCACTTAACATATCATGACCGAGAATAACATCAGAACATAATCCTTCCATCACCATAAGATTGACTTCCACCTTTTGTTTTTGTATTTCTATAGTTAATGCACATCTGCTTTTTACATGTGATATAAGGTTTGACTTGGCCATTGTTATCTTTTGGTGATATGGTGTTTCAATTAAATCATAGTGGTTAACCAGTCGTTTGTCAATAAAACTAGCTGTACTGCCTGTATCTATTAGTGCTCTAGCCATAATTTTGTTATTGATAATAATAGGAACAGTCGCTTTACTTAAATCTGCAGCAGATAGTATGCAGGAGAGTGTTTCGATTGACTGATTTTCGTTGGAGGTAGCTGCGTTGCGTTGAGATTTATTTCGACAGACTTTAGCAAAATGACCCCTCTTACCACATGAAAGACACGTTGAACTGGCTGCTGGACAGAATCTTCGTGGATGTCTTTTTTCTCCACAAAAGTAACAAGACTCAAACGTATTTCTATAATTTGGTGTTGCAGCAACGGTGACATCAGTATTCTTATTGTCAGCAGACATAGAATCCTTTAAAACTGGAATATTAGAACAGTTATTTGTATTATTTATTACAGGATTAGTGTCACGTAGATAATTCTGATTATGAATTTCTGCTAACTCCAGTGATTGAGCTTGCTGGAAGGCCGCATCTAGGGTTAAAGTACTATTTTCTAACAGTCTTTGACGTATTACAGGTGACACCAGTCCGCCTATGAAAGCGTCTCTTATGTATTCACTTTCATTCTGTTCTGCTGTAACTTTATGGAAGTTACATTCTTTCGACAATAGTTTAAGAGCTTGTATATATTGATGAACTGACTCACCGGATTGCTGATATCGCTTCATAAGACGATGTCTTGAATAGATTTCGTTTACAGGTTTTGTAAATAATTGATTTAATTTAAGAATCGCTGTAGTGTAGTTGTTACATTCTTTGATATGTGCATAAAGAATCGGCGATAAGTAATTGACGAGTACTTGGTATTGCTGCTCTGGAGTAATAGGATTATCCTTAGTATTTATAGCACTAATAAAATTCTCAAAAGTTTGTTTCCAATGTATCCATAGCGGAGATTGATCAATATTTGCTGACGGATCTGCATCGAATCTTTCGGGTCTTAGATACTTATCCATTATAGATTATAAGTAATTTTTAGTTTATTAAATTGATATGAATATAGTATTGAATTATTAATTAAAACTAGATTTACCCATTATTAGGCTTTAATAAACTAAAAATTGTACACGACTATTTGACAGATAAAATGTAACTAAAATCTTCTTCTTATATTTAATGGCTTCACGACAAGCTGTAATTGAGGTGAATTGTGATTTTAATATGTAATGTCAAAGTCATTGTCAATGTCATTTCAAATTCCAAAAAAATATCGCCGAGTCCACTGTGTTCCCTACAGTACATTATATTTCAACTTGTTTTTGTTATAAATCAAGATAAATGTAATTAATAGAAATATTTACTAAACTAAACAGAAATCGATTTTAAACGTTTATCTTTTTATTTACAGTTCGCATTAACCATAATTATAACAAATAGTGACTTTAAAAGTACTTTGTGGTGACTTCAAAGAACTTCTAAACGGTGACTCTATTCAGTGTTAATTCACAATAAGTAGCGTTAGAAGTGTATTTTTTACTATCAGACAATGTTGTGAGATTTATAAATCTGTGTCAGAGTGTCTTCATGTCCATTGTCCGAATAGGGGTTTATATTTTGTATTGACAAATTTTGTAAGTAATCTTTTATTTTTATTATTATTTATCTATTCGATAAAGGATTATTGCTTTTGTTGTCTTTGCCTAAAGTACAATGTTTATTTTTTAATTACAATCTGTATGTTTTTAAATATATATACATATTATATAGCCATAGCTGAAGAAAAAACGAAACTAAATCGTGTTCTTATTCAGATGAGGTCATCAGGGCAATATTACATTGGTTTAGCAAAACTAGTGATAACATAGTTGCATATTCTAAATGTGGAATTTGTAATTTTCATCTAAATTCTTATTTAATCAGACAGTGCATCTCTGCCTAATTTTAACAATCAGTTAGTTAATATTATTAAGATCTGATTTGAATGACTATCTTTCAATTCATATTTCTCATATAATGTACATAGCTATAATTATCTATGGTGTATTTATAATTATGGGAACATTAATATCCTAAATTTATTGCATCAACATACTGCAGTGAGTGTGATAGAAATATTGTTATTCTTATTATATTTCTTAGTGACAATTAGAGTTTATTATATTAGTCAGAACATTAAATATTGTTACTTGTCCTTACTAGGTCATTATAATGCCCTAATCGTCTAAATATAGACTTAATATAAGTAGTAGAGAAACAAATTTGAAATTACCAATAATATTTTTATGTGAATGTAATTAACTACTTCAAATAAGAAAATCATGTTGGTAATTAGTTTATCTACAGTAATAAAGGCTATTGTTATTGTTATACTAACTAACCCACTCAACTTTGCGTCACACTTAACATTCACAATTAAATTTGACCCTATTTAAATAATATCATTTTAAATTATAGCCTATGTGTTATTCTGATGTATAAGCTATATTACTGTAAAATTTTATCAAAATACATTCATTATTTTTTTGTGTGAATGAGTAACAAACATCCATCTATCCTTCCATATAAGTTTTTGCATTTATAATATTAGTTGTTATATTTGTTTACATTTGTATGTTATGTCTGTTTGTGATATGATAGTATACTTTGTAAATATATACACAATGTTATGGATTATTTGTATGTAAATTGTTTGAAATTTAATGATAAATGTCAAGTAAGTGTGATACAGACAAAGTCGAGTGGGTCAACTAGTATAATAGTAGTTAGCCTTTATTGCTGCAGATAAACTAATTACGTTATTTATTACCTTGATTTTATTATTTAAATTAACAGCTGTTCCCACAACTTTGCCCGCATAGAATATAACTTTATTTTTCTAAAATAAAAGTAGCCTAAATTACTCCTCATTACATCAGCTACCTGCCAAAAAAAGTCCTGTCAATATCGATCGAGCCGTATCAGAGATTAGCCGGAACAAACAGACAGACAGACAAAAATTGTAAAAAAAAAATTTTTTTACAATTTCATATGCATGTAGTAAAAAATGGTTATTTAAATATTACAAACAGACACTCCAATTGTCTGTAGATTAATTACAATTTACATAACAAATTTAATAGCAACTACAAATTATGTTTTTTTTATGAATGCTTCTCATTAAACTTATCAGTAATTTCCCTACAAGCTCTTCTTATGTTGGTACTAAATGATAGAGTCTGTTGGCTCATATTATTTATTACTCTTTACCTGTTATTCAGAACATCGACTAAGAAGACACAACCTCTATGGTCTGGAGATTTAGACCATGCTACCTCTATGCTATTATGTATATTTATCTATATTTCTCTCAGTTGTCTGGTACTCACAAAACAAACAGCTTAGCTTGCAAGTACATGTCGTCGGAATTGCCCAGAGTGATTAAAAAATAAAAATTTATAATGTATGAGAATACATCTTCAATACAGAGTATAAATTTGGGTTAAGTTTTTTTTTTGCAGTGACGAAGCTATTGAATATGGCGGAAACTCTTGACCCCCTATCGCCCAGCACAAACTCTTACAGATCACCAGGATTTATGAACAAACTAAGAATGAGATTCAGCAGAAATGTTCCATCTGGTAGACCAATGGGGGAAGGTAAATAATTTTTAGCAAATTAATTATTACATATATTCTGTATTATGACATGGATTTGTAGAAAGTCTTACCCTGTAGCTGAAATAGTTCGTATTACTTATTTCAGCTACTAAGCACCTTGCTTTCTCAGATATATTTATGTTTAAATTGTTGTATATTGGTGATGTGATGTATCAAGGTTTAAAGACTATTATGTGAGATTGTGGAAAGTGGCAAGAGCTCCACCGACAAGAGTCGGTGTTGTCTGTCGCTCTTAAATTATGAATGAATGAATGTTGTATACTGTACTAGCTAGACAGATGTGTATTTTTTATTCTAAATTCTGTATTTAAATTTATAGTTCTTTTATTGTATATTTTGACTATACCTTGACAATAATATGAATCTCCATATTCCAAGTCTTTTTCTGTATTTTCTTTACCTATATACATATAAAATATAACTACAACTGAAATGAGAGAAAGCAGTGAAATTAAAGTGAAGGCAGTGGTATTAGTGTGTCTATTATACATCTATTATATATCTTTATATAAAAATTATGTGTCATGTTGTTTGTCCGCGATGGACTCCTAAACTACTGAATCTATTGAAAATTTGATTTACATATTATGTACAATTTGATCCAACTTGAAAGGTAGGATAGCTGACATCATAATTTATAGTCGCAATATTATTATATTCAAGAACCTTAGCCACAGCAACGCGTGGCCGGGTTTGCCATAAGAATATATATTATAAAAGAAAATGCTACAAATTAGAGCCAGGGAGGGAAACTGAGAGGAACAATAATATGGAGTGACAATTTAGAATTTGGTATTTGAAATTTAAGGTCCTCTTAATATAACATAGAGTAAGTGGCCGGTATTCCACAATGGGTGTTATGGATGATAATGGAATGGTGCCTGCCTGTGCTAACGGTTTATGCTGGTGGTGCCCCACCAGTAAAAATGATAAGATGAGCGTGAGGTCAGGTCAGTTAGCTCATCGTGGTAAATTCACGACGACATTTATCAAGTTGGTTTCCGGGGGGGAACCACGTGGAGGTCAACCTGACATAGTAACAATGGGGTTATTTGTCCATATTACTATCAATCTCCTATCCTCCTTCCACGATGAGTTTTTATTCTTATGGATGATAATGGAATGGTGCACCCACTAACGCTAACGGTTTACGCCGGTGGGGCACCAGTGGAAGATGATAAGATGCATGTGAGGTCAGATCAGTTAGCCAATTGTGGTAAATTCACTACGGATTTATCACGTTGGTTTCCGGGGGAACCACATGTAGGTCAACCTAACATGGTAACAATGGGGTAAATAATTCATATTACTAACAATTTCCCGACGGAGCGACGACATACGTAGGGTTGCGGGTAAAAAATGGAAGAGAAGGGCTGAAGATCGTGCCCAGTGGCGTGCCTTGGGAGAGGCCTATGTCCAGCAGTGGACTGCAGTGGGCTGATGATGATGATGATGAACAATTTCCCGCAAGCTAGCCCACTGTGCAAGGAGGGACCTTCCACAGTGGGCTAGCTTGCGTGTCATCTAAATTAAAATAAAAAAAAAGTCTGTCGAGTTGTAAGTTGAGTAGAATAGTTACAATTGAGGCTAAACTAACTAGGTATTGATGTTATAGTGAATAAGCGTGAATGCATTGTTTTCAAACAATGTATTTCAAGGTTGCACAATAGTTGATAACTGTACTACTTTATCAGTGCTATTCTTGTGGCCATTGCGTTGACTTGTGTTCGAGATGAAAGTAAAATCTCTGGAAGGTACTTTTTCATATTTTTTTATTGTATTCAATAATTAGGTCCTATATTCGGCCTCTTATACATGTTATAATTCTTTATCATTATCCCTAACGTCCAATAGGAAGTTACTTCTGTTGAGAACTGCCAAGAAAGTCAAGTTGTACATTTTTATGTTATAGAAATAGAAATAATCTTTATTCAAATAAACTCATTACAAGCACTTTTGAATAGTCATATTTTGATTCTACCACTCATTCGGAATGCAGATTCATCACAAGAAGAATGAGCAAGAAACTTGTGTGTTGCTCTTTTTAATAGATGTTTTTTTATATAAATAATTACAGTGTAACAAGTAAGAGGCATGCGATAATCAACATAGAAATCGCTACGCACTCATTATTAGTGTAATCAGATAATATTGTCAGTGCTATGTATTTAAATGTTTTCTACAAAAACATTATTATCGTTTACGAATTCTTCAATTTTATAGTAAGCTTTTTATTTTTATTGTTATTATTTTTATTAATAATAATAATTTATTTATTATCAGACTTACTTGCCCATTTTGTTAGCATTACAGATTTCTTATAATTAATGTGTGGTTTGGTTGGCGTGTTGATAACAACAGTGAAATTAATGAAAGATTTAATATATGACGAAGTATATAATATCAGAATAAAAGTAACATACACCAATTACATATAACTTTCTAAATCAGTAATTAGCAAGCGAATCAATTTCACATTTCGACAATATACTTTTTTAGTAAATGTATTTGTGTTATATGCCTGTTGTAAATGTAAGGAGGTTGGTAGCCTACAAATGTTAGTACAGACACAAATAATATTATTACGTATTGTTTTACACATGGTGGAAAAAATACGTATGATATACTAGCTGTTATATGGGTTTCGTCCACGTGGAATTAAAATAAATAAAATTTCTAAAATAGGTACCTTAAGTTACTCCTTATAACATTAGCTATCTGCAAGTGAAAGTCCCGTTAAAATGCGTCCAAGCGTTTCAGAAATTAGTAAGTAAAGCTTTTTTATACTACATGCAACGCATGTAGTATAAAAACAGACGTACATAAGCATACGGCCCAACTGATGGTAAATGGTGACCGTAGCCTACGGACGCCTGAAATACCAGGGGTGTCAATGCGCGTTGCCGCACGTCGAAATTTAACATTGGGTGAAAAAAATGAATAATATTTTTGTTTTTGGGGGAAAGCGGATTGTTAGTAATGGGATCTGGTGTCCCCATTGCTAGCAATGTACCTTCCCAGATATGACGGTCGATAGGAATCAGTGGAAGAGAATGACATACTGCGCCGACCACAAATAATGGGATAAAGGCAAGGCAATGATGATTATTGTTCCTCACGATTTCCCTTCTTGGTTCTAGTTAGTAGCATTTTATTTTATAATAAATATAGTGATATAGTACACACACACTAATTCCAGTGCATTATGAATCATAAAAAAAATCTTTTTTGTAGGATATGTGGAGTTCGGTGAGTTCCGGACAGAGCGGCCGGCAATCAAGAAGGTCGGCACTTTCGCCGGTGTTTTCTGTCCGGTCGTGCTTTCTATGTTCAGCGCCCTCATTTTCATTCGGATGGGTAATCATTTTCTTTATTACTTGCGACCTGTACCAGCTTCGCACCTATAATTACAAAGCTTTTTTTTTTTATTTCATTTATTTGAGCATGAACATCCACTATGAAGATTAAATTGTTATCACTTGCAAAAAGTTCAGGTATATAGTGTTGACTTAATTACTGGTAGGCACGGCATGTGTAAGTTTCCAGAATATTGTATATATATATATATATATAGCAAAATGTTGATATTTAATTTTATTTTTTATGTTATATAAAACAAAATATTTTTAGTTAATAATTTAATATTTCAGGACAATTCACACAGCGCCATCTAGTCCCAAGCTAAGCAGAGGGTACTAGACAACTGATAGAAATACATGGATTTTTTTTTAGTTAATAAATACATATTATACATAGAAAACACCCAGACCGATACAAACAATCACACTCATGAATACAAATGTCTGTACCGTGCGAGGAATCGAACCTACGACCATCGAATAGTAAAGCGGTGTGCTAAACCACTAGACCACCGAGGCTGTCAAAAGTAGTTAATATATATAAAACAAAAAAATAGAATATCAACATTTTGCTATTTCAGCGTCATTTAACGGCCATTAATGAAACTATGCGAGTGGAGACGCGGGTAAAAGCTAGTTATTAATAAATAAGTAATATGAATAATAATAAGTATATGACCTAAAATCTCTTCTGACTTGCTACGTTGTTTATCGCCCCGGCTATTACACCTGCTTTCAAGGTTGTAATATCAACAATGCTGCTATGCAATAATAGTGTTTAAAATACTCTTTCCTAATCAAATGACATTGATGATTTTGTGTCCACTGTAAAAAAAGAACTACACAGCAAGTAATCAATTTAGTCAGAAAATAAATTTAACACTGATTTTGTAATTGTTCAAAATTTGCATTAAGTAACTTTTGTTGGGTAACGTCCATTATACTGCAAATGAATAGTTTTGTGTTTTCTTAATTTTTTATATTATTGTAAACATGTACATGTTACAATCTTATTTGAAAAGATTACGATCTGAGTTTCTTCTTTCTGTTTTTCTTTTCAGTTCCTCTATTTTTCATCTTCGGTTCATACACTATACTTCGGTTAATACATGCATATGAATATAAATACGGTATATACAGCAAAATAACATTCTTGTCTGTCTGTCCTTTCCGGATAATCTCTGAAATGGCTGTACCGATTTCGACAGGACTTTTTTTTGGCAGGTAGCTGATGTAATAAGGAGTAACTTAGGCCACTTTTATTTTAGAGAAATAAAGTTAAATTCCACGCGGACGAAGTCGCGAGAACAGCTAGTAGGCTATAAATTTAACGCGAGTGAAACTGCATCTATAGAGCTAGTAATAAATAAATGAATCCGTGCATGTATAGACCCTACAAACGCACATTATCTGTAATGATTCATAATTGTCCGTACCATGTGTGAACATATCAGTTGTTTTATAATATTGACCTAAAATTAATGGAATAATTAAATAATCTGACTGTCGTAATTTTTATGACGTTATACAGGGTGTGTTTTTTTTTAATGATAATGGAATGGGGCACCAGTGCAGGATGACGGTCACTAATTTAGAATAGAAAAAATCATGGCAGTTTCCAGAGAGGACCGCATGGATGTCGACCTGATAGGCGTTGAAGGCGTTCTGGCCTAGTAGGAGTATTTTTAACTGAAAATATAAAAACAAAAACATAAATTGTTTGTAACAGACGTAACAATATGGAATGAATATAAATTAACAATGTCAGGTTGACCTCCACACGGTTCCCCTGGAAAACACCGTTTCATGGTGAAATTGCCACGATGAGCTAACTGACCTGACGTCATGCTCATCTTATCATCGTCCACTGGTGCCCCGCCAGCGTAAACCGATAGCGCAGGCGGGTGCAGCATTCCAATATCATCGATAACATGCAATATAACATATAGGGGGTATATGAATATACATATAAACGGCCTCGGTGATTTAGCGGTGTAGCACACCGTTTTAATTTCGATGGTCGCGGGTTCGATTCTTCGCACGGCACAAACATTTGTATTCATGAGTATCATTGTTTGTATCTGTCTGCGTGTTTTCTATGTATAATATGTAATTACGAAAGAAAACTATGTATTTATAACAGTTATCTAGTACCCATAACACAAGGTTTAGCTAGCTTAACTCGAGTCTAGATGGCGCTGTGCGAATTGTCCTGAGATTATTATTTTCATTATGTTGCAGGTTACTTAGTGGGAAACGCGGGTCTGCTCGTGACGTTGGCGCAGTTCGCACTTGCCTATTTAATAGTGCTGTTTACCGTCACGTCAATATGCGCCATATCCACTAACGGCGCCGTGGAGGGAGGAGGAGTGTATTGTATCCTTTTTTTTAAAAAAAAACCAACAATCAACCAACCGACCAACAAACCAACATTGGTCCTATTTTGATCAAAGTGAGGTCTAAGGGCTGCCAGTATGGAATGTGTACTGAAGATAACAACCTGTTCATGTTGACCTGTTGAGAAGGCTGAATATAAAATCAAAATTAAATAATTTATTAATGTAGGACATTTTAGCAGGTTATGAACTTCAAGTTTTTGTATTCATATTTTGTTCTGGTATACAGATTCAATTAAGAAGAACAGGCAAAAAGTCAACGGAATTTCTTTTTTATTTTTCCTAAATCTAAAAGTTATTTTATTTACATTGTGTTCCCGAGGTTTTACCTGCGTTAAATTTCAATATAAAATATAGCCTACGTGTTATTCTGATGCATAAGCTATTATTCTAAAGTTTCATCAAAATCCGTTAAGTACTTTTTGCGTGAATGAGTCACATACATACTTACTAAGATTAAGATTAGTTAGGTTTTATGCGAACCAATCTTTTCCTCAATGCAAACTCAGTCATGATAAGCAGGACACTAGGTCCAGAGTTCGGAGGCGCTATCGGCACGTTATTTTTCTTCGCCAATGTGGTGTCCAGCGCCCTCTGCATATCAGCGTGCACTGAGGCACTGGTGGAGAACTTTGGAACTAATGGTGAGATTAAATTCTTTGTGGATATGTTTCCTTCTTCTACACTGTGTTACCTGTGACATTTTAACTAGTATATTGTTGTTTTTCTTGTTTATATGTATAACTAGCTTTTGCACGCGGCTTCGCTCGCGTTAATTTATCCTCTTAAGGGTGGAATTCATCAGAATCCTTTCTTAGGGGATGCCTACGTCATAGTAGCTTTATGCATGCAAAGTCTCAGCCCGATCGGTTTGAAATTGACAAAGTTTCATACAAACTTTCATCCCCTATTTTATCTCCTTGAGGGTAGAATTAATCAAAATCCTTTATTAACGGTTGTCGATGTCATAACATCTACATGCATGCCAAATTTCAGCCCGATCCAACGTAACGGATTTTGAAGCGGTTTTTTTAAATAGATAGAGTGATTAAGGTTTATATGTATAATACATGTACACCCGGGAAGTCGGGGCGAGTAGCTAGTATTTACATAAGTGTATATAATTTTATATTTCCACTCGTGCGCCACTTACTCAATTTTTTAAAATACTCTCTAAAGGTTGTTGAATAGGTTGCTTTAGCGATAAGACTGTCTTTTGTACTTATTTTTATTTTTAATTTTTTAAATTTTGTTGTTTTTCATCTAAAATAGTCTTGTGCTCAATCTTACACTCCTAACCCTATAAGGGTTGCATTCGTTTCAATAATTATATATATTAATTTCCTTTGCAATTTGTCCCATTATTCCCTTATTTCAAAAATGGTTGTTACCTGTTACAAAATTCTTAATAAATTATAATTAGTTTATCGGTAGTTATATATGGTTTCAATTTCAAGAATATCTTGAATGAGTATTCAGAAAAAAAATGTATTCGTCAAGGGATCTCACCATTATTCCTTTGCTATAGGGGTTAGAGGTGTGAGATTGTGCAGTTTTTATATGTTTAACCTGCTAGAACATTTCATCCCCCATTTCGCCCCCATCCATATCCTTTTTGTAGACAAAGGGTAGTCTGTGTTACCGAGGCTGTATAAAAAAAATGAATATAGACTCATCTGTAACATTTCTATTCGTGATTATGATTGTTTGTATCGGTCTGGGTGGTTTCTATATATAATATGTATGTATTTACGAAAAAAAATCTATTTAATATATTTATCAGTTATCTAGTAGCCATAACACAAGTTTTAGGTAGATTAACTTGGGACTAGATGGCGCTGTGTGAATTGTCCTGAGATTATTATTATTATAGATTATCTGTTCTTCAGGGTATCTGGTGAAATCGAGCCCTGGTATACCAGATGGTTGGTGGTACAGGTTCCTGTATCGCTCTATACTGAACACGGTTGGGCTCGGTGTGTCGCTCGCTGGCGCTTCGCTATTCGCACGCACCAGCCTGGCCATATGGGTCACCATGTTGGTCTGTCTGTCTAGTGCATTCATCAGTTTCTTCGTCACACCTCCGGCTGAGGTACGTGGTTTTATTTCACTTATAACTTAAATTCACCTATATTACTTTCATTAAAAAAGATTATTGTAAAATTGAAGATTTATATACTCTTTAATTTTGCAATGTTCTTTTTTATTATTGTCGCAAAACTATTTTGCATTAAATTTGATTATTTTGCTATAATTCTTTTATTATTATTACAAAATTGAAGAATTATAAACATTTTCGTAGAAAAAAAAACGTAAAATTCATAGAGCTGACAATATTATCTGATTGCGCTAAGAATGAGTTATATCGGTTTCTATGTTGATTGTCGCATGCCTCGTTCTTGATGTGTATTTACTTAAGATATATTTAAAAGAGCAACACGCAAATTTTTTGCTCCCACTTCTTGTAATGATCCTGCGTATCGAATGTGTGCTAGAATAAACATTAAGACAATTCAAAAGTGCATTATTATATTTACTTGAATAAAGATTATATCTATTAATACGGGTAACTGCATTTTTAATTGAATAAAGCTGTTATAATGATATTAAATTTATAATAAATATTAAATATATTTTTTATTTAACATTGACTAAATGTTATCAGATATATTTTCATGAGAATAATAATTGACACGAAAACTGTGACTCGAGAATTTTATATATAAGATATATTTTTTTATTTATTAACTCATGTATCAGATATATATTACAAGAATTTTATTGAATAAAATACTCATTTTTTTTTTCTCTTCTTTCTAATTTATTCTACTTTATTTTTTTTATTAATAATTTGTTTAAATTTGTAGTTTATTTTCCGGTAAGTTTCTTCCAAGTTCTTCTCAACTAAAATAGAAGAGACTTAAGGAGCTTGAAAGTTCCTTTTTGAATAAATTATTCTGAGTTTATATTATTATATTTTTTATCCAATTCTTCTTTTTTACAGATAGAGAAACCCGACACAAACCAATTAGTAAACGCAACAAATTTCACCTACACGGGACTTAGCTCAAAGACGTTCTACGAGAACCTATATCCAGAGTATGGTAGGGATTACACGACCACCAACGGTGATATGGTAGACTTTGCGTCTGTATTCGGGGTGCTGTTCACGGGGGTTACTGGGGTAATGGCGGGCGCGAATATGAGTGGTGAGTATTAATAATTGTTAGAACGAGGTTTGCAATCGATGTCTAGACTGGCTGGTATGGCAGATGAAGTATGTTTGAATATTTGAAAAGAGAGTGTGTTGCATCTTGTCTGTCGTCGTATTGATGTATCTATAACTTATCTGTATATTGTATTAAATGTGTTTTTATATTATTTTATTTTGATTAGAAATATATTTTGTTTATCTTATTCTACGTTATTTACTTGAACACCACTATAGTTACTCTGTTAACGTGAGAAGTTCGGAGGTAACTTCCCTCACAATAATAATTACAACTTCATCCACTTACTTTCATACTTCTCCAAAAGCTGTAATACTAAACACATGTAGAAATTTTTCTCAGTCAGTCAGTCAGTCTGCCGTTTAAAAAATCTTCATCACCATCATTTCTTTTATATTTGTCATTGTTTAATGATTTTCACCCGCAATGATAAGTGTATCACCCCATCAAAGGGAGACATAATATATATATATATCCGTCAAACTCCTGACCGGGTGCTGCTTGTGGGGACTGGTCTGTTCGGTTTACGAACACTGATTAGACTATTTGCTTTTGCAATGCTGGTGGTCACATTATTCTCCCAAATTTGAATTTAAAAATGAATCTGTATTATTACGTACATGTACAACATGTATTTGATAAGAATACGAGCTGATTTTCTTGTCAGTTCTCTCATCTCGAAATCATTCCGAACGGATAGTGGATTTGACATATCATAAGAGTCTGTAATAGACCTACATGTATAAATATATTTTAAATTTGATGGGATTGATATATCAAAAATGAACATAACGGACTTTTGTAAACACAAAGGTGATTTCAGTTTGTGATAAATTAATAAAAAACAAAAAAATGATGAATATGTGTTACGCAGGTGAACTGAAGAGTCCATCTCGCAGCATTCCGCTGGGCACGCTGACGGCGCTGGTCTTCACGGGCGTCTCGTACGCAGCGCTGGCGGCACTGTCCGCGGCCACGTGCTCACGGGCCCTGCTGCAGAACAACTACGTGTACCTGCTGCCTCTGAACGTGTGGCCACCCTTCATAGCCGTCGGTATGTAGGTTCATGATGCGTTTCGTACGCGTAAATGATTTTTCCACATTAATACAAACTCTACTTGGGAAGTACAAGTAACAAAGGTCTTAGAATAAATAATAAGTTTACTGTCTTCTGCTATTACGCGTACAAATATGATTGAAGAAATTAGAATATATTATTAAAGGATTATATAAAAAAACGAATTTTCATCATCCAGAAATTAATTTATTTTTATTCATTCATACTATATTTTTTTTCTAATAGTCTTTCAAAGTCAATTTAAACTTAGTAATATCATCAGTGAGCTTTAGTCTCTTAGTTCTTTTATTGTAAACTAGCTACTCGCCCTGGCTTCGCACGGATGTACATGTATTATACATATAAACCTTCCTCTTAAATCACTCTATCTATAGCTAAATACTACATTAAAATCCGTTGCGTTGTTTAAAAGATCTAAGCGAACAGATGCAGAGACGCCTTCATTTTATACTATGTAAATATAAATATATTCATATAGAAAAATCTATATTGTACACTAAATAGGCACATATATTTTTCTTTCCCCTATATAATTAACACAGCGCCATCTAGTTCCACAGTAAGCAGAGCTTGTCTTATGGATACTAGACAACTGAAATAAATAAAGCAGGGACAATATCATTTTATACTATTTAATGATTGTAGGAGCCGTACCAAGTATACTGATGTTTTGTTACAGGGATGCTGATGGCCACATTCTCGGCTGGACTCTCCAATTTAATAGGAGCATCTAGAGTTTTGGAAGCGCTCGCGAAAGATAATATTTTCGGTAAGTAAATCCGATGCATTGTTTATGAGAAGGTATGGTGTTAATTTGTTTTTTGGTAAGGAAGAGTGTTTTAAAATGAAACTGTGACCTCTTCTCATGAAGCACATGTATCCACCCTCATATGTGTCGCGTGATGAGCGGTGCTTCTCACTGGATTGTGTGATGCCGTCATCGACGCAACGTTTGACGTCGACCAGTGCTGGTTGAGGATGGCGTCTGTGGGTTTGAGCATTATAGTTCTCAAAGCAGATTTGCTACTACTGTTTTAACATACGGTTAAAGCCATAAATTAATAAATTGCGTCACATATTAGCTAGGGGAATAGGTCTACAAATTGTGACATTGTGTGTCCAGGGTACGGATGAGGTCCTACATTTTGTGATGTTGCATTTTAAAAACGTAATGTTTGCAGAACTCTTAATGATAATAATAATCAAATCAATATATCTTTAATCATATAAAATAACTTGTTAATTGACTTTTTAATTAATAATTATGTTTAATTATATGTCTATGTTTAATTGTTTTTTATATTTCATGTTTATATTGTATTTTTTATATTAAACTATAAAATATTTTCTTTCTTTCTTTCTTAATTTCTATTACACTCATTATGTCAAAACTACCATTATTAATAGCATTCTACTAAAAACTGAAAAGAAACTCGTTGTCTTATTCTATATATATATATATTTGTAAAATATAGATTCACTGTTTGTACCAAAAAGGCAGAATAAAAAAAAAAAAATATTACACACTCGTATGATATGTCAAAAACTACCATCAGTTCGGTGAGCATTCCAGCTAAAAACTGATAAGAAACTCGCCTCTTATTCTTTTGAAATGTACATATTTACCAAATATAAATACATTTTGAAATTCAAAAGTAGGCAGAATAAAGTGACTGGTAGTCACTCTATTCTGTCTAATTTTTAATGCTGGTAGTCTACCAGTATGTACTATTTCAATAAATAATAAATTTATTTAGCCATAATCATATACAGGTCTTAAGTCATTTTAGTAAACAGTTTGTGATTGTATAATCGAATATTATTATATATTAGTACTCGTATTCGCGCGTAACGAGCGTACGTGTAAACACAGCTATTCGTATAGAAAATGCATTTGGTCAGGTTTCCTCCTGCGTCCGATGGTGTCGCGGTCCGGCAACCCCGTGCTGGCTGTGATTGCGTCGTGGCTTCTAGTACAAGTGGGCATTATGGCCGGATCCCTCAACGCTATAGCGCAGGTTAGTCCTCAAAAGTAGATATCAAAAATATGTCTAGCGATTTGCTTGATCGCAGGACGACCTGAAGGCAACAGTTTATACCATTAAACTTGCCAAGGTCTGGTCTAAATATATTAAGGTTTACTATTGACACGACAGAATATTTATTCATGTATAGTCTTTTGGATGGCAATGCTTGAGTGGTATCAGATATGTCAAATGAGAACGTGTTGTCCCTAGTGCTGTTCATGTATGTATATAGGCAAGGGTTACTGCTTACCAACAGGTGTGCTATTTGCTTATTAACCATTCCATCTGTCTAAATAAAAAGTTATATTTAAGTGATTAGTAGGTTTATAAATAAATAATATTTTCAGGTGAATTCTGTGCTATTCATGACAAGTTACTTTGCAATAAATCTCGCTTGTTTGGGATTGGATCTAGCGTCTGCGCCTAACTTCAGGTTAGTATAACAAGAGTTACAGTTCCACTAACTTATTAACCCAGTGATACCGTTGCTATTGGTGTTATAAGCTATTATTAAAAGTGTTTAATTTTTCTTTTCTTGCAATTGTTTAATTTGGTGTTGCCCACGTTCAAGCAGTTTTCATAAGCTATACAATAGAACGTTCCGCGTCCAGCCCACGTTCCAGTAGTTCTCGTACTCTATAAACAATAGAACCGTCTGTGTGTAGGCCCACGTTCCAGTAGTTCTCGTACTCTATAAATATTAGAATGGTCGGTGTGCAGGCCCACGTTCCAGTAGTTCTCGTACTCTATAAACAGTAGAACGGTCTGTGTGTAGGCCCACGTTCAAGTAGTTCTTGTACTCTATAAACAGTAGAACGGTCGTGTGTAGGCCCACGTTCAAGTAGTTCTCGTACTCTATAAACAGTAGAACGGTCTGTGTGTAGGCCCACGTTCAAGTAGTTCTTGTACTCTATAAACAGTAGAACGGTCTGTGTGTAGGCCCACGTTCCAGTAGTTCTCGTACTCTATAAATATTAGAACGGTCTGTGTGTAGGCCCACGTTCAAGTAGTTCTCGTACTCTATAAACAGTAGAACGGTCGTGTGTAGGCCAACGTTCAAGTAGTTCTCGTACTCTATAAACAGTAGAACGGTCTGTGTGTAGGCCCACGTTCAAGTAGTTCTCGTACTCTATAAACAGTAGAACGGTCTGTGTGTAGGCCCACGTTCAAGTAGTTCTTGTACTCTATAAACAGTAGAACGGTCGTGTGTAGGCCCACGTTCAAGTAGTTCTCGTACTCTATAAACAGTAGAACGGTCTGTGTGTAGGCCCACGTTCAAGTAGTTCTCGTACTCTATAAACAGTAGAACGGTCGTGTGTAGGCCAACGTTCAAGTAGTTTTCGTACTCTATAAAAAGTAGAACGGTCTGTGTGTAGGCCCACGTTCAAGTAGTTCTCGTACTCTATAAAAAGTAGAACGGTCTGTGTGTAGGCCCACGTTCAAGTAGTTCCCGTACTCTCTATGTGTGGGCCCACGTTCAAGTAGTTCTCGTAGTCTATAAACAATAGAACGGTCGGTGTGCAGGCCCACGTTCAAGCAGTTCTCGTACGCTAAACAATAGACCGGTCTGTGTATAGGCCCACGTCCAAGCAGTTCTCATACGATATTACGCTCATACGCTTACTATACGGGCTGTGCTAATATCCCTCTTTCTGTTGTGCGAGTGTAGTGTAGAGGCAAATCGCGGACAGCTTGTGTCTGAAATCGAGAGTACTTTTACCTGAGTCTCCGATGGCGACTGAACTTAGTTCAATTTAACCCTAGTAAGACACAAGCCTGCGCGTTCACTGCTAAGAAAATCCCTGTTACTGTGGCTCCGCAATTCCAGAACACGTCCGTTATCATCTCTAAGAGCATTGGGATTCTCGGTGTCGACATTCCTAACACAGTTCAGTTCCACAATCACCTTGAAGAAAAGGTGAGGCTGGCGTCCAAAAACTCGGTGTGCTCAATAGAATGAAGCGGTACTTCATTGTGGCCCAGAGATTTCTCTTACTCTTGACTAATAGTTACAGGTTCGGCCGCATATGGAGTACTGTTCTCATCTTTCGGCAGGAGCACCCTGATACCAGCTCGGTCCTTTTGACTCGGTTCAGAGACGTGCAGATCAGCTAAGTGGTTCAATATGGTTCGGTATTGAACCACTTAGTTTGAAACGAGACTTCACTTCGTTTTGTGTTTTCTACCGAATATACAACAGAGTGTCTTGTTCGACATGATGCCCACAGCTACCTTTTACCCTCGCACCGTTCGCCGTCGACAGAGAATTCATCCCCTCATGCTAGAACCTAAGTGGTCTCGGACAGTGCGGTTTCAGATGAGCTTCTTAGATTGTGGAATTAACTATCTGCCGAAGTTTTTACATGAGACTACAGCATGGGGTTTTTTAAGAAGGGTATATTAAAGTTTCTTAATGGCCGGCAACACGCACGTAACACCCGTGGTGTTTCAGAAGTCTATAAGCTACGGTAACCATTTACTTGATGGCAAACGAGCAACAGTGTCGTTTGCCACTGGGGGTTTAAGTAGTATAAAAAAAAGCTAAATAATAGAGCGGTTGGTGTGCAGGCCGACGTTCAAGCAGTTCTCGTGGGCGACGTCGCTGGCGGGGCTGGCGGGGTGCGCGGCGCTGGTGTTCGCACTGCGACCGCTGTATGCAGCCGGCGCCGCGCTGGCCTGCAGCTCGCTGGTGGTGGCGCTGCACCTGCTGTCACCCGCCGCCGCCGACCCCAAGTGGGGCAGCCTCAGCCAGGCCCTCATCTTCCACCAAGTAACTATAGAATAGTATACAAATATATTCTTATTGGTACAGCCAAGGAATCAGAAGAAGTCTGCAAGCCGTGTCTTTGACATGACTGCTCTGTGCTATTAAAATATATCATGATGTTTTATAGGTCAGAAAATATCTGCTACTCCTGGATCCACGTCGTGAACACGTCAAGTTCTGGAGGCCGCAGATGCTGCTCCTCATAGCTTCCCCCAGGCAGTCAGCGCCGCTTATTGATTTCGTGAATGACCAGAAAAAGGTGTGTGAGTAATATATTATTAACAATTAGTTTTGCTCATTGTAATGATAGTACTTTTTGAAAATGCTGCGGAATACGCAAATAAAACTTACTCGTATTTTATTTAAAATAATTTAACATTAGATAATGTTATTCTGATTAAATCAATTCAAAATATATTTATTCATATAGGTCTATTACAGAATTATGAGATGACAATACTGCCCATCTGTTCACTTTGCTATTGAGCAAAGAACTGACAAGAAACTGGTTTTCAGTTGCAACATTCATTATGATAGTATCATGTACAAGATACTGTTTACTATATAATAATATGTAACAGGGCGGTTTGTTCGTGTTGGGCCACGTGCGAGTGGGACAATTGGACGGTAGCGGTGACCCACTCGCGGCTGAGCACAAGTACTGGCTGAAACTCATCGACCATCTCAAGGTAACCTTTTTCTTTGTAAAAAAAGAATAGTTTGTAATTGATAATGTACGATGCTAGCTCGTACATTATCATCGTAGTTTCGGTACAACCCGAATATTGGTCCTTCGAGCCGGATATGGATCTAATATTAATTACAAATTAGAACATACTGTCTTCTAACATTCTACAAACTTCTGTAATTCATGGTTCTGCTGTTTGAAATATGGGATTAAATGAGAATGGAATATAATGTGGGCGCAGGTGAAGGCGTTCGTAGAGTTGTGCCTGGCGGCGTCCGTGCGGGACGGCGCGGCGCAGCTGGCGCGGCTCTCAGGACTCGGGGCCATGAAGCCCGACACGCTGCTGCTGGGCTTCAGGGACGCGCACCCGTCGCACGACTTCTTCAGAGAGTGAGTACCCTGGCGCGACTCACAGGTTCTCAGCTCTCGGCTTCATTATATCAAGTGTATATCGTGTATGTCGTATATATGCTATGATTCTTCTGTAACACATCTTTTTATTTTATACTGTAAGGTGTATAAAAACTACACTTGGAAAAACAATGTATACAGGTCACGTTGTTGTCCGTGATCATACCTGACTGATAAAAAAACCACCCGCAGTCCGGCGTCGCCGTACAAGACGGACCAGTTCGAGCTGGAGTCGGGCGAGAGCGTGTTCCCGACGCGTGCGGACGCGCGCGACCAGCTGCCGCCGCACGAGTACGTGCGCATCGTGTCCGACGTGCTCTGCGTCGGGAAGAACGTCTGCCTCTGCCGGAACTTCTACCGCCTGGATATGGCCGCCGTCGAACGGTCAGTGCGCCTCGCTGCTTCTCGCTCAAACGAATGAGTGGTACTATTCAACGATGACCATAGCAGTAGAGATATAGAAATAGTATTTATTCACATGAACTGAATCCGTAATGGCAGGCGGTCGCCGTCGCTGCAGTACATCGACGTGTGGCTGGCGGAGCTGCTGCGGCCGCAGCCCGAGGACGCGTTCAGCGTGCGCGCGCTGTTCGCGCTGCAGCTGGCCGCCGTGGTGCGGTCGGCGCGCGGCTGGCAGCACCTGCGGCTGCGGGTCATGGTGGCCGCGCCCCCCCGCCACCACCACCACCACCACCACCACCACTCGCCGCCCACCGTCATACAAGGCGAGTACTACACTAGTGCCGCTGCAGCTGGCCGCCGTGGTGCGGTCGGCGCGCGGCTGGCAGCACCTGCGGCTGCGGGTCATGGTCCCGCCACCACCACCACCACCACCACCACCACTCGCCGCCCACCGTCATACAAGGCGAGTACTAATGCCGCCCACCGTCGTACTACACTAGTGCCGCTGCAGCTGGCCGCCGTGGTGCGGTCGGCGCGCGGCTTGCCTCAGCTGCGTCTGCGGGTCATGGTGGCGGCGCCCCCACCACCACCACCACCACCACCACCACTCGCCGCCCACCGTCATACAAGGCGAGTACTACACGAGTGCCGCTGCAGCGGGCCGCCGTGGTGCGGTCGGCGCGCGGCTGGCAGCACCTGCGGCTGCGGGTCATGGTGGCCGCGCCCCCCCGCCACCACCACCACCACCACCACCACCACTCGCCGCCCACCGTCATACAAGGCGAGTACTACACTAGTGCCGCTGCAGCTGGCCGCCGTGGTGCGGTTCTAACATTCTCGCCGCCCACCGTCATACAAGGCGAGTACTACACTAGTGCCGCTGCAGCTGGCCGCCGTGGTGCGGTCGGCGCGCGGCTTGCAGCAGCGGCGGCTGGTGTTGTTGGCGGCGGCGCCCCGCCACCACCACCACCACCACCACTCGCCGCCCACCGTCATACAAGGCGACTTCCCTCCTCGTGCCGGTTCTGCTGGCCGCCGTGGTGCGGTCGGCGCGCGGCTGGCAGCACCTGCGGCTGCGGGTCATGGTGGCCGCGCCCCCCCGCCACCACCACCACCACCACCACCACTCGCCGCCCACCGTCATACAAGGCTGCTGGGCTGGCCGCCGTGGTGCGGTCGGCGCGCGGCTGGCAGCACCTGCGGCTGCGGGTCTTGGCCGCGCCCCCGCCACCACCACCACCACCACCACCACTCGCCGCCCACCGAGCGAGTACTACCTAGGCGCGACTGGCCGCCGTGGTGCGGTCTCAGCTCTGCGGGTCATGGTGGCCGCGCCCCCCGCCACCACCTCCACCACCACCACCACTCGCCGCCCACAGTCATACAAGGCGAGTACTACAGTAGTGGCGCTGCAGCTGGCCGCCGTGGTGCGGTCGGCGCGCGGCTGGCAGCACCTGCGGCTGCGGGTCATATATATGTCATACAATGATTCTTTTGGCCGCCGTGGTGCGGTCGGCGCGCGTCTTTTTATTTGCGGCTGCTATGGTGGCCGCGCCCCCCGCCACCACCACCACCAAACCACCACTCGCCGCCCACCGTCATACAAGGCGAGTACTACACTAGTGCCGCTGCAGCTGGCCGCCGTGGTGCGGTCGGCGCGCGGCTGGCAGCACCTGCGGCTGCGGGTCATGGTGGCCGCGCCCCCCCGCCACCACCACCACCACCACCACCACCACCACTCGCCGCCCACCGTCATACAAGGCGAGTACTACACTAGTGCCGCTGCAGCTGGCCGCCGTGGTGCGGTCGGCGCGCGGCTGGCAGCACCTGCGGCTGCGGGTCATGGTGGCCGCGCCCCCCGCCACCACCACCACCACCACCACCACCACTCGCCGCCCACCGTCAAGGCGAGAACGCTGCCTGGCCGCCGTGGTCGTCGGCGCGAACTTCCTGCAGCTGGCCGCCGTGGTGCGGTCGGCGCGCGGCTGGCAGCACCTGCGGCTGCGGGTCATGGTGGCCGCGCCCCCGCCACCGGACCACCACCACCACCACCACTCGCCGCCCACCGTCATACAAGGCGAGTGCCGCTGCAGCTGGCCGCCGTGGTGCGGTCGGCGCGCGGCTGACCATAGCATGGTGGCCGCGCCCCCCGCCACCACCACCACCACCACCACCACCACTAGAGATATAGAAATAGTATTTATGGCCGCCGTGGTGCGGTCGGCGCGCGGCTGGCAGCACCTCCGGGTAATGGCAGCCGCGGCCACCACCACCACCACCACCACCATCGCCGCCCACGTGTGGCTGGCGTGGTGCGGTCGGCGCGCGGCTGGCAGCCCTGCGGACGCGGTTCATGCGTGCGCGCGCGAGTACTCTAGTGCCGCTGCAGCTGGCCGCCGTGGTGCGGTCGGCGCGCGGCTGGCAGCACCTGCGGCTGCGGGTCATGGTGGCCGCGCCCCCCCGCCACCACCACCACCACCACCACCACCACTCGCCGCCCACCGTCATACAAGGCGAGTACTACACTAGTGCCGCTGCAGCTGGCCGCCGTGGTGCGGTCGGCGCGCGGCTGGCAGCACCTGCGGCTGCGGGTCATGGTGGCCGCGCCCCCCCGCCACCACCACCACCACCACCACCACCACTCGCCGCCCACCGTCATACAAGGCGAGTACTACACTAGTGCCGCTGCAGCTGGCCGCCGTGGTGCGGTCGGCGCGCGGCTGGCAGCACCTGCGGCTGCGGGTCATGGTGGCCGCGCCCCCCCGCCACCACCACCACCACCACCACCACTCGCCGCCCACCGTCATACAAGGCGAGTACTACACTAGTGCCGCTGCAGCTGGCCGCCGTGGTGCGGTCGGCGCGCGGCTGGCAGCACCTGCGGCTGCGGGTCATGGTGGCCGCGCCCCCCCGCCACCACCACCACCACCACCACCACCACCACTCGCCGCCCACCGTCATACAAGGCGAGTACTACACTAGTGCCGCTGCAGCTGGCCGCCGTGGTGCGGTCGGCGCGCGGCTGGCAGCACCTGCGGCTGCGGGTCATGGTGGCCGCGCCCCCCCGCCACCACCACCACCACCACCACCACTCGCCGCCCACCGTCATACAAGGCGAGTACTACACTAGTGCCGCTGCAGCTGGCCGCCGTGGTGCGGTCGGCGCGCGGCTGGCAGCACCTGCGGCTGCGGGTCATGGTGGCCGCGCCCCCCCGCCACCACCACCACCACCACCACCACCACTCGCCGCCCACCGTCATACAAGGCGAGTACTACACTAGTGCCGCTGCAGCTGGCCGCCGTGGTGCGGTCGGCGCGCGGCTGGCAGCACCTGCGGCTGCGGGTCATGGTGGCCGCGCCCCCCCGCCACCACCACCACCACCACCACTCGCCGCCCACCGTCATACAAGGCGAGTACTACCAGTGCCGCTGCAGCTGGCCGCCGTGGTGCGGTCGGCGCGCGGCTGGCAGCACCTGCGGCTGCGGGTCATGGTGGCCGCGCCCCCCCGCCACCACCACCACCACCACCACTCGCCGCCCACCGTCATACAAGGCGAGTACTACACTAGTGCCGCTGCAGCTGGCCGCCGTGGTGCGGTCGGCGCGCGGCTGGCAGCACCTGCGGCTGCGGGTCATGGTGGCCGCGCCCCCCCCCCCCCCCCCCCACCACCACCACCACCACCACCACCACCACCACTCGCCGCCCACCGTCATACAAGGCGAGTACTACACGAGTGCCGCTGCAGCTGGCCGCCGTGGTGCGGTCGGCGCGCGGCTGGCAGCACCTGCGGCTGCGGGTCATGGTGGCCGCGCCCCCCCGCCACCACCACCACCACCACCACCACCACCACCACCACCACCACTCGCCGCCCACCGTCATACAAGGCGAGTACTACACTAGTGCCGCTGCAGCTGGCCGCCGTGGTGCGGTCGGCGCGCGGCTGGCAGCACCTGCGGCTGCGGGTCATGGTGGCCGCGCCCCCCCGCCACCACCACCACCACCACCACCACCACCACTCGCCGCCCACCGTCATACAAGGCGAGTACTACACTAGTGCCGCTGCAGCTGGCCGCCGTGGTGCGGTCGGCGCGCGGCTGGCAGCACCTGCGGCTGCGGGTCATGGTGGCCGCGCCCCCCCGCCACCACCACCACCACCACCACCACCACCACCACTTGACAATTCAGTACTACACTAGTGCCGCTGCAGCTGGCCGCCGTGGTGCGGTCGGCGCGCGGCTGGCAGCACCTGCGGCTGCGGGTCATGGTGGCCGCGCCCCTCATTTAAGTCATCTGGTATATAAACTTAAAGTTATATATTCCTTCCAGAAGCAGGTAGATCGGTGACTGTGGGTTCCACTTCTGAGGGCAATGCCCCCCTCATGTCTGAAGCCCGACCACTTCAGGAGCGGTTGGATGAACTTCTCAAGTCCCTCAGAATCAACGCCACTGCGCACATTGTAAGTATTCTGTTACTAGTTTCTTTCACCGACTTTTCTCGCCATACCATGACAAGCTAAAAAGGATTGCTTTTTTTTGCTAAATTGCATGGTGATTGGTTCAGTTATTAAATAAAGCAGAAAGAAAAAAAAAAATATTCGCTTGATGTTAATATACGCTGGCGGGGCATCAGTTGAGGATGATAAGATGAACATGTGGTCAGGTCAGCCCATCATGACAAATTAACCAGAAATTAGTTAATTGGCATATAGGTGCACACTACGAACAAAATTAAGATATAATTTCGTGACACAGGTCACTGAGTGGCCATCCCTGGACAACGCCACCAAATGGTCCAGTGAGCTGCACTCCGATGATAACGCTATATTCCAACGGGTGCCCTTAAGTTATTTACAGACGTAAGTGATTTTTTATTTATTTTGTGTGTTAAAATTTTTTGCATACCCTCTTTTCCCTACCATGACAGTTGCACAGACCACACTTTACGACCCCACACGCGCGCACGATGTACTAACATATGTTTTTTATGCATGATAATGAAATGGTGTCCCCACCTGCGTTAACGGTATACCCTGGCGGGGCACCAGTGGAGGATCATGAGATGAGCATGAGGTCAGGTCAGTTAGCACATCGTGACAAATTCACCAAGAATTTATCACGATGGTTTCCAGAGGGAACCGCGTGGAGGTCAACCTGACATGGTGCATTGCTAGCAATAAGATCATCAATGCACATTACTAACAATTCCCTTCCCCCTGATGTATATTTAAAAACTAGTGTTGAAACTAAGATTTTAACGAGTGACATTGTGCTCACACATATCCTGGACCCTGATATGTGATGAAGAGCATAAAAATCTCGGAGAAAAGGTATGAATTGACAGATATCCTTTACACGCTTCCATTTTTTCCCTAACACTGCGTAACTAAGTTAACATGATACCTTCAATCATATTAATGTATTAAACAATATTGTTATACTTTTAACGAAGTAATTGTTCTTTTGACGGCCTCAATAGTTTAGTGGATTGGTGGTACACCTTACTTCCAATGGTCACCGGATTGATTCCTCGCACGGTACAAACTATAATATTACTCATGAATGTATATAATATAAATGAGTATAATTTTTATTATCCAAGTGTTTCTATGTATATATTTACAAAAAAAAATGTATAAATGTTTTTATATCAGTTGTCTAGTACCCATAATACATGCTCTACTTAACTAAGAACTAGATGGCGCTATGTGAATAGTCCTGACATATTATATATTGTTTTTCTTTTAGCGTGAACAACATAATAAGGGGTCGGTGTGGTGAAGGCACGGCGGTGACATTCGTGCAATTGCCCGAGCCACCGTCACCTACAGACGAGCCGATATGCGAACAGTATTTAAAGGTATACTCAAATGAAATGAAATCAAAAATCATTTATTCATGTAGCACATTTTAACCACCTACGAACATCAAGTTTTTTGTATTAATATTTTTTCTCTACCTCTCTTCTTTGGAATGTGTTCGTAACGCATATAAAAGAGAATATGCGAATATACGAAAGAATAGAATATCCAAGCTTTAATGTTAAATAGGTTAGACATAGGAGTATTTCATGAAATATTGGCAGAACCAGCTTCCGATGCAGCCAAGTTATTGTTCTGGATGGTATCATATTAGATTAAGTTTTTTAGTTTATTCTTGTTATTTAGTATAGGTACGATGGGATTGTCATCGTCACATTTTGTGCACAAAAATCCCAAAAAAATTAAAGAGATAAAAAAAAAAACCTCTCTTACGTAAATAAATTAAAATTACTAAATACATACATACATATATACACACATAAAAAGTATACATACATATAAATATTACACAAATAACACACTATACTAAATGTAAGAAGCAAAAGAAGTGGAGAAGAAGTGAACATGCGAGTATTTACAGGGAGAGAATGTGAGATTTAACTTAAAGATGGCTTCTTAACGATGGCTGAGGATTGAGTATTACGTATGGAGGGTGGTAGCGACGGTAGAGAGTGGTACTGAATTTTTAATAAACTGGCTTTAAACCAGTTTATTTACATTGTGTACTTATATAAGGTCACTGATGTTGATGATTTTATATGATACTACATAGGTCTGAGAATACGATATGTATTTTTTATTTTTATACTCTTAAGTGGACCAACCCAATTTTTTTTATATGTAGGATACTACACAGGTTTAAGAATAGGTTATGTATTTTTTATAATCTGGACCAACCCAATTTTTTTTGGATCAAATTTTTTTTTTTTTTATCGTCATTAAAAATGCATACAAGCCTAAATTTTTAACCCTCTACCATCAAATGTACAAATTGCGACCTTAATGCCATATGGCATTCTCTATCAGCTAACAATTGGGTAAAAACAGAAAGCGGTTGAAGGGCAGTAATGGGAAAAAATGAATAGTATTAATTTAACAAAAAATTGTATTTAAATATTTATACCCATACCACAAGATCTGCTTAGCTTAGGATTAGGTGATGCTGTGTGAATTGTCCTGAGGTATTATTATTGTTATTATATGTTTATTAATTTATATTCATGTATTATATATAATAATGAATGTGATATTTTCTTTTTCAACAGATTTTAGATGACTTTACCAAAGATCTGTCGCCTACCATCCTAGTCCGAGGACTCAAGTCAGTAACTTCCACGGCGCTATAAAACAATCAGGTAAGATAAAATTAAAATCAAAATATCTTTATACATGTATGTCTATTACATACCCTCTTAAATCTACCGTCAGTTCGGAATATATTTATTATATCTCCCTTTGATGGAGTGATAGACTTGTCATTGCGGGTGAAAATCAACAAGCAATGACAGCTATAAAAGTAATGATAATGGTTAAGATTTTTTTAAACCGAAGAATTTTAATTTGCGGACATATTTCTACGTGTGTTTGGTATTAAAGCTTTTTGGAGAAGTATGAAAGTAAGTGGATGAATATCTTGAGGCTAGCGTGTAAGGATGTTGGAGTTACACCTTTATTCTTATTAGTAATTATGTTTATTTTACAGTTCACAAATAATGCAGTCCAAGGTGAACTGAAGACTGCTGGACTGACTTACGAGCTTGACATTACACTACTGTTATTACCAGGTTTTCACCAAGGTCATCAGATTAATTTTAAAATTTCCTATATGTAATACATTAGCTAATATTATGCTTTAAATTTGACACTCCTGACAGTATGTTAATTTAGTGATTAAGTTATTATTTAATTTTAGATGATGTAGTTATTTTTTAATAGTAAAATTTTGACAATTTTATATCTGATTTCTATATTGTTGGATCTTAGACTATGATATGATGTATTGACAACAGGGATGTTAGGGAGCTCCGTAACCGTAACCGTAACCGAAACTATCGGATATCCGATATAAAATAATATTCGTAACCGTAACCGATCCGAAATAAAAGTTTCGGATAATATCGGATAGGGGGGCAGCCTAAATCAGACACGTTATGTAACCATTTTGTTAGCTATTTGTATTTTACTTTTGAAATTTCTTAAAAAAATAATATCCGTAACCGAAATTATCCGGAACTCACGGATAATCCGAAATAATTTCATATCCGCATCCGTAACCGTATCCAGTATAATAATCATTCCTATATCAGAAACATATCCGTATCCGAATTTTTATATCCCTAACATCCCTAATCGACGCAACGGCTCAGGACGGGATAGTCCCGCTTTCGATTTCAATCATTTTATAATAACAGTGTTACATAATCAGGATTATTTAAATATGTGGACCTTATGTTATTAACAACTCAATTGTAACCTACCATTTTGCAGTTATGTGCGGGTCATTTATTTATTTGCTTTGAATATGTTATGTTTTTTTCAGAAATACATATTTCCATGTACAATTTGCATGCAATACAATATACATATACAATACAATACAAATACAATTTGTATGCTCAAGATGTACCATCTTGAGCATGCAAATTTAGATCAAATTTAATATTGAATGCAGAAACTTATCAATAATGAGTTTGAATCCAATTATTCAATACAAATAAATCAATAATGACTGTTGCCTATATACATGGACAGCGTCCTGTAATGGTTATCAGCAATTAAATTTAATCCAATTGTTTGACCAAAAAAAAATTTTGTTTCATTATTGAAATAGAAAATAGGATAACGGTACACCTGATGGTAAGTGGTAACCGTTGCCTATATACATGGACAGCGTCCTATAATGGCACGCGTTGGCATTCCAGAAGATTAAGAACTAAGATCTTAAACTATTGAACTTTGTAATTAAAAACTATTGTATATATGCTACCTAACTCATACATATCTTGGTATAGGGACCACATGATTGTTTACCATTTTTTATATTATAGGGTATAAAAACTTAATTTAATATAAATTATATATCGCTGTAATAAGTATAGTTAAAAAATCCAGAAACAGATATAACAGTAATTCGTATTAATTTTATTTTACCAGTATAGGGATTGTTTATATTATATTTGATTTTTTTATATTATAAGATATAAAAACTAAATTTATATGAGATATTTCGTTTCGGCTATAACCACATAGGTTCTTTGGGATAACTTTCACTATATATGTGTATTGAGTATATACAGTAGTAATTGATTGGATAACACTTTTTATTTTTATTACATAGCACACTCAATTTAACAACCATAGACAGCACCAAAAATCAGAGAGTAAAAAAAACATTACAGTGTTGACATCCACAATTTGATAATATTGCCAACATATTATATATATATATATTGTTAAATCCAGGATTTTTTAAATATATATATATATAAACATTCTCGCTGTCGCTGTCACTGTCTGTCCCTATGTATGCTTAAATCTTTTATAACTACGAAACGGATTTTGAAGCGGTTTTTTAATAGATTCTAGAGGAATACATAGGGACAGACAGTGACAGCGACTTTGTTTTATACTATGTAATGATACATAAAAACGGTGCGAATGGTGCTATATCTACTCCAAATTATAATTAGAAATGTATTAATATGAAATCTGATATTATATTATTATTTTAATTTAAAGTAATTGTAATGACTATTAATTATGAAGTTAGAGTTATCTATAGATATCTAATATATCTACAGATAGATAGACAAATATTAGACAAAGATTATTAACATGTGTATCTCTAAACTGACCACTAAATCTAAAGTTATTGTATTTTATGTGTTCTAGAAATTAGGAATTTAACTCAAAGCAAACAGATACTACGTCATTGTGTAAAACATGTATATGGGATTTTGTTTCCTATAAGACATGGAATAACTATGGGATATAGAAATAGAGTACGCAAGAAATGATATGACCATAAAAAACATACAGCAGAGACTGCGCATTATTACGATTTTGTACATAAAACATTTACTACCCACGGCAAATGATAGCAAAATATAATCAAGTCAATTGCTGTGACCTGTAGAAATTATTTTATACTATTTCTTGCTAAACCGATTCAAATAAAACGCATAAAATATTTTATTTACGATACAATTTTTACTTACGATTATCACAAGACATTAATGAAACAAAACATTAAAAAAAAAACACTAATTGTAATGTTGTATATATATATATATATATATTGACGGCCTCGGTGGTCTAGCGGTCTAGCACACCGCTTTACGACCGATGGTCGCGGGTTCGATTCCTTCCTTGCAAGGCACAAACATTAGTATTCATGAGTATGATTGTTTGTGTTTGTATCGGTCTGGGTGTTTTCTATGTATAATATCTATGTATTTGTATCAGTTATATAGTACCCATAACACTAGCTTTAGCTAGCGTAACTTAGATCTAGATGGCGCTGTGTGAATTGTCCTGAGATTATTATATTATTATATATATATGTGTATATTTCAGCCACTCTTATTGTCATCTGTCCTATATCACGCTCACGCTACTGAGAGTAAGAAATAGGTATAATATTTGTCGCAAATATTTTGTCATAAAGTATCTTATGATGTTAACCAACTTATGATTAGATTCTAAATAGCAATGCCGTACTGTTATGTAGGGTCCTTTAGGTCCCGCCTTAATATCGTGCATTCCAAATTCCAAAAGAATTTTTATGCTTTCTGTTATTTTTTTAATTTGTGTAATATTGATAATTAAATAAATATTGTAACTTGACAAATTGAAAATCTAGTAAAGTATATATGTTATTAAGCAAAATTTGTTAGAATAAAGCAAGAGGGATTTCTAACAGGATACGTTTGCGGCGTCTTATGAAATCTGAACTTAGAGAAATATATCAAAATAGTTTTTTTTATATTAATTAAGTATAATTAGATAGCGAAATATAAAAGAAAGTATTATATTGGAAATTAATGTAACTAGACTATAATGCTCAACACGGAACGCACCTGCGCAGGTTCTATTCCTATTGACGGTAAAATGTTTTTTAAAATGATAAAATTGTATATATTGAATAATAAAATGTTAGATTTTAACTTAGCATTAAATATACTTATATACTCGGCTAGTTTTGTTGTGAATTAGAAAATTGGAAACATGGTCGTCGACAGAAAGTAAGTTTGGGTAAAGAGATTTTGTTGACTATGGTATGTACCATAGACAAAACTCGCCGTGTATAGATGTAACGCACACTAAATAATGCACCAAAATATATTTTTATAAGGTATATATTTATATATATATAATATATATTAGCAATAAGAGAATATAGGATGAGTAGTCTTAACCAAATACTCTATGTAAATGTTGGAATATCAGATTAGTAGATTTTTTTTATACATATATTAGTTTCTACTAATTTAGTAGTTTAATAACTACTAATTTAGTTTGACGTTAGACATGGGCAGAATTGATCAGTCAAAATCAGAAATATTTTACATGATAATGGTTTAATTAACTAAATATCTGTTAATTTTAAGTGTTTTTGAAAAATAACTATTTTAAAGTTTAACAACAGCACATACCGTATTATAGACACATTTTCAAAAACAGTTTACTTTTAACGTGTTTTACATTTATAAATATATATACTATAATATTATATGCGAAAAAACTTTGCTTAATTAAAAAGAAGGGTTGATACTTTAATTAGGATGCTTCATGAAAATTTACAGAATGTACAACAAATAATTATATTGTTTAGGAATCGAACCCGCGACCATGAGACGTAAAGCGGTGTGCTCAACCGCTAGACCACCGAGGTCGTCAAGAAGTGAATTGTATTAAAATTCAATGCAAATTTTATAAATTTATTGTCAATTGATTGATAATCGAGAAAGTATGATATATTATAATGGAAACTGTCTAGAAAGTAATTGCATGTAGGTATTGACAGAAAATAATTATATTTTGCTAAAGTATTTTTTTAATTGTATAACAATGTGATATGACAATAAATTATGAATATTATTACTATCTTTGCTTATGTATTTGTTTTATTTATACCTTACTATTGACGAGCGTGCATGGCAATAGTTGTTCATGCTCGGGATTTTTATTTAATGTTAGACATAGATACCTATATAAATATACATTGTAAATAAACTGGCTTTTTAAAAAAAGTAGTTCAATTTAATTTCTTGCCAGTTCTTATTGGATCTATATACCGAACTGGACGGTAGGGTAAAATTAAAATTATAATGTAAAAAATGTGACGTTC